GGGCCTGCCTGGCCGTCCTCCCGGTGCGGGCAGAACGAGGGGTCATTTGTGGTGGGCAGGGGCCTGCCACACACCGCCCAGCCCAGCTGCCCGTCCTACCCCGAGTGTCTGTCACTGAGGCTCACCCATTCATTCATTCATTTCAGCAAATCTCTGGATGCTGGGGGCTGGGCAGCTGCCAAGGAAACCTGCTCCCCACCAGGAGGGCTGCGTTCTGCCTGCGGTGCCCTTCCTGTGGCCAGCCCCTGCCTTCCTCCCTGAGGACCCCGTGGTTTCCCCTCGGGCCTGGCCAGCAAGGGAAAGGCAGAACAGGGCTCCCCGCCTGGGCTTTTCCTCCACTGCCTCCCGGGGCTGCCTGCCCTCTCCCCGCGCCCCTGTGCGCCCCTGTGGCTCTTCTGCCGGAGATCCCCCACCCTCTCCACCTCTGGTGGTGCTGCCGGGCTGGGCCAGCTCTGGCCTCTGACCTGCGTGCGGGGGTCCTTGGTCCCGTCCCTCGCCCTCCCCCTCCCAGTTTGCAGTCCAGCTTCTCCTTTTGTCTTGTGACAGACTTCCTGTTGCTGCTTTCCTCCTCATGTCTTCCATGAAGCTGTCATTTGCTCCTTTTCTGTGTTTCCGGTGACTTCCTCCCTGTATTTGACACTTGTGTTCCCGGAACTGCCTCCTCGCCCCTTTTGGCCCCTGCTCAGTGTGGCAGTGACAGGTCTATCTGCTGCAGCCCTGTGAGGATCGGCCTCAGAGCGGGTGTGCAGGCCTGGGCCGTCCTACCTCTGTTGCTCTGGCTCCTGATGGTCACCTCAGTTTCTCCCCTCTGTCCCTCTGCCTCCCCAGCCCCAGCCATGTGGTCTGCTGCCCTCACAGGGAGGGACCCACTCACTTCTGCCAGGGACCCCAGGACGGCAAGCTCCCTGGAGCTGGGCCCCCACCAGGCCACGTGTGCCCTGTGCCCTCCCATTAGTCACACTCCCCAGAGGCGCTGTGCCCACTCTGGTCTCTTGAACATACACGGTGTGAGGCCTGTGGTAGGAGCCCAGGAAATCCCGTGACCTGGAGAGTTCTGAGAATTGCCTGTGGAAGATGGGCCTGGGGTCCCAGGCTGACGGAGCGGGCATCTCCACTTGGGTGGGATGGGGGGATGCCTATGTGGTTACCTCTGTCCCAGCCCCTTGGTCCCCATGGATGCTCCTCAACCAGGACCGTCTCATCCGGCACGCACCCGTGTCCCATCTAGAGCCCTTCTCCATGCCGTGTCTTCCCATGACCGTCCTGCTCTGTCACCCCAGTTCCTTTGCATCAGCTCAACTATGCAGCCATTCGCCAGATCCCCCAGTACCTGGAACTTGAAGCCGTGATCCGAGGTCACTGTGTCCTCGCTGGGCTCAGCCTGGGAAGGCAGAGCCCCTCTGACTGCACATCTGCTTAGTGCTGGGCACAGTGGGCATTGTTAGTGGTCTAGAGTACTAAATGTGCAGGGGCCTGCTGGGGTCATCTCCACCCACCCCTACTGAGTCTGCTCCCCAAGTCCCTGAAGTGGGTGTCCTGGGCCAAGCTGGTTTGGGGCTGCCCATGCAGCTTGCTCAAGTAGGCGCCTTTGCTGGCCCCCAGGCCTGCTCAGCCTCCTGTGGTGCTCTCCAGGAGGAGGGAAGCCAGGGGAGGGGAACTGAAGTGCCTGAAAAGGAGGGCAGCTTTCAGGGGGGCTGGAGGAGGGAACAGGGAACTCCCCAGAGGACACAGGACACCTCTGAGTTCTGCCTCCTGTTCTGGCAGTAGGCCTCGTGGCCTCTGTCCTGTGCCTGCCCTTTCCTTGGCTCATCTGGGAGGGCTCTGTCTCACCTGTCAAGGGCACGGGATCTGTGTGGCTGAAGGTGCCAAGAGCTGCTTTTTCACTTCTACCATGCTCACCTTGGGCTGGGTGGGAGTCAGGAGAGTTCTGGTTTTGGAGTCTCGGACTTGCCTGGCCGGTCACTCTAGGGGAGGCCACACACACCTTGTGCAGTGGCTGCTGAGGCTCTTCCAGATGTTGTCCCTGGGCAGTAGTCCTGCAGGTAGGCGGGCTGGGCTTTCCCAGGCTTCCCTGACTACAGTGCCTGGAGTCTCAGCAAGGTTCCTAGGGCGTTGTCACCTGGGGGCAGCTGCCAAGGAGGAGCTGGGCTGGGGGGGGGGGGGGGCGCATGGGGGGGC